GATATGTGGGGGGAAGGGTACGAGGAGAAGAGTACAGAAACGGCAATCAGAGGAGGAAAGGAAACCACTCCCACTCCCCTCCACTCTCTCCTCCCCCACCTACCTTCTCATGGGGGTTGCGCTGCAGCAGGCGCCACTGGTGCTCGTCCTCCCGCTTCTCCTGCCGCCTGCGCCGGATGCCCTGCACGCGCCGCTCGTGCTGCTGCACGCACGCCTCCAGCAGCCCGCGGATGCGCCGCTCCCGCATGCTCACGTAGTGCCAGATGGGGTCGCTCTCGGGGTCGATCTCCAGCAGCAGCCGGATGGCGTTCTCCACCTGCCAAGGGGAGGGTGCATGTGGGGAAGGTGACTTCTGGATCTACTCGAGATCCGCCGCTCCCGCATGCTCACATAGTGCTTAGCCTCATGTTCGATCTCTAACAGCAGACAAATGACATTCTCAGCCTGGAAAAGGGGGAAGGGGCGGAGGAGGGGGGTGCATGTAAGGACGGTGACTTTGACTCTCAATGTCAGACTCCTGGACACACTCACGTGGTGCCAGATGGGGTGGCTGCTACACTCGTCCACCACCTCCTCCATATGCTCCCCCTTTTTGCCTCTACCCACTCAGCACTCACAGTGGAGGGGCTGGCACTGGGGTCGCTGAGCTGCGCGTACAGGATGCTGCTCAACTCACAGTGGAGGGGGCGGCGGTGGGTTCGCTGAGCTGCGCGTACAGGATGCTGCTGAACTCGTCCACCACCTTCTCCACCTCCTCGTTCACCCGCCGCAGGATGTTGGACTGAGATGGAGAGAGATGGGTGGGAGGGGTAGGAGGGGCGCAGAAACGAGAGGAAAGGGAGTGCGGGAAGAATGGATAAGAATGGTACAAGCTGCTGGGGTAACGAGGGAAGAGGGGCACGCGTGGAATGTGAATACATGCAGCTCTGCTTTCAGGTGGTGGATCAGACTCAAACGCCCGCTTGACAGCCCTCAACTCATACTCACATGGCCCGTGAGGGAGATGGACTTGGCCTTGAGGTACTCGTGCACAGCGCTGTCGTACTCGTGCTTGCGCAGGTGCGTGCGGATGGCAGAGGGCATGTTGAAGAGCGTGCGGAAGCGCAGCAGCAGCCCCTGCACCGACTGGATGCGCTGCACTTGCGCCTGGCGTGGGATGGGTGGGCGGGTGGTGCAAGAAAGGGGGAGAGGTGGGGGAAGAATAAGGTCACGTGGGTGATGAAGGGAGAGAAACGAAAGGGGCAGCGCTTGGGGGGTGGGTGGGTGGTGAGAGACGAGAGACGAGGTGAGGAGGTAGGTGAATGAAGAAAAACGGGAAGATGGAAAATAGGGAAGCAAACAAGCATCAAAGAGGCATACGACGGCATGGTTAGCAACAAGAGCAGAAGCAGCAGCACGAAAAACACGGGAACTGGCAGCCATTGATCCAGGACCCACTCTGCGTTCGAGCAGTGGGCCGAAGGCGGTCTTGGAATGCTGGTCCACGTTGTAAATAGCGGCTGCCAGCGTGTCCAGCGCACAGTCCCGCTTCATTGAGGCCAGCCCGCGCTCAATGTCTGTGTGTGCGTGATACAGGGACAGACGTATGGGAAGACACGAGCAGAGAGAGGCAGGACGAGAGAGAGAGGGGGATTGTTTTCGATGGGACCCACCTTGCTTATCTCGGCTGTACCCAGGATCCAGTAATACACGGACCGCTTGAGAGAGGGATCAGAGCGAGTCGCATGGGACGAACCAGTCAAGCTTGCTCCTTGAGTCAGCTTGAGACCCGCACGTATCTGCTCGAATCGTACCCCATGAGCCACCTGAGTAATTTTTTGGCAACCAGTAACCCAGCAACCCAGCAGCACTGACCGTTGATGGTGGTTTTGCAGGGGATGCAGCAGCACTGACCGTTGATGGTGGTTTTGCAGGGGATGCAGCAGCACTGACCGTTGATGGTGGTTTTGCAGGAGATGAAGCAGTCGAAGTTGTTCTGCACGAGCTTCTTGAGCTGCTCCTTCTCCCGCTGCATCACCTCCTCCAGCTTCTCCCGCCCCTCCTCCAGCTCCCGCGCCGCGCTGCCCCCGTGCACCACGGACAGGTACAGCATGGGCTCGAACGCCTCGTCCAGATTCACCAGCATCTCTGTGGCAAGGGAACAGGGGGTGGGTGGGTTCCACCGTGCATAAAGAAGTCTAACAAAGCTCGCTCGCTGCCCGCCCATGCACCACCGACAGGTACAGCATGGGCTCCAATGGCCCCCCCCAATAACCAGTCTACATTGAGGCGTCGAAAGGCAACCCCTCACCTGGCAGCAGGGAGCGGTCCGGCGCACTCTTGCCCTTCTCGTATCGGCACTGCAGACACATGTGCTCCACGTCCAGAGGCCTGCCACGCACGCAAACACACGCCAAACCAAGGTACAAAACAGAGGTGGAAGCGGAGTAGATACAGGGGATTGAGGAGGCAAGAGAGAGAACTGGGGAGCAGAGGGCACGTAGGCAGAAGGTACGTGAGGCAGAGTCAGGCAGCGCTCCAAGTCGCACGGTCGTAGTTGGTGGGTCACAGCACTCACCCCAGGCCGAGAGGGGAGGGGGGGGAATCCATGATGGCGGCTGGTCCGTGGTGCCCTATGTTACTGCCTGCAACCGACGCACATTGGCCGGGCCCCCTAGAGGACGAAGCACACGATGCATGCGAGTTGACGCTGCACAGCACACTCAGCCCGAGGCCAAGAGGGCCCGGCCATCCATCCATGATGGTGGAGCCCCGCGGCTGGTCCGTGGTGCCCTACGCCTAGACCATTGCCTGCAACAGGCTGCACACTGGCCTAGCCCCCTCAGGGACGAAGCATGATGATGAATGACGAGGATGATGCCGCATGATGATGCTGATGATGCATGATGAAGCATGATGATGAATGATGAAGCATGATGATGAATGATGAAGCATGATGATGTGTGATGAAGCATCAAGATGCATGATGAAGCAAGATGATGCCTGATGAAGCATGATGATGCATGATGAAGCATCACGATGCATGATGATGCATGATGAAGCAAGATGATGCCTGATGATGCATGAGGATGCATGTTGAAGCATGATGATGCATGTTGAAGCATAATGATGCCTGATGAAGCATGATGATGCATGATGAAGCATGATGATGCATGATGATGCATGTTGAAGCATGATGATGCCTGATGAAGCATGATGATGCATGATGAAGCATGATGAAGCATGATGATGCATGACGAAGCATGATGATGCCTGATGAAGCATGATGATGCATGATGAAGCATGATGATGGACGATGATGCATGACTATGACGCATGTTACATGTCGCACAGCAGCACTCACCCCAGGCCCAGCGGGTCCATGATGGTGGACCCCAGAGGCTCGTCCGTGCTGCCCTGCGTCACTGCCTGCGACCGCACGTTGGCCCGCCCCCCTAACGCTGCTCGTAGATCACGCACCTTGCGCATCAGCTGGTCACCTCAAGGCGCAGGTCGGGGTGTGGGTGTGTACGACAGTGAGCAGGCGAGAGAGAGGGGAAGGGAGAATGAGAGGGGCAGGGAGAGAGGGAATTACGAGGAAAGGCCCGTTTCTCAGCACGTGGCAACGCATCTTCAGCACGCGAACCTCAACAGTCTCGCAACAGAGTGCACTCACCCCAGCGCCCCTACCCAAGTCACGCTAGCACTCACCGAGTCCTCGCCGACTTCATCCCACGAGGTGGGCTCTCCCCCGTCCCCCAGCTCCATGGCTCCGTACCGCCGCGTCCCCATCCGCGTTAGCATCCGCGACGACTCCCACTGCGCGCACGGATTCATTCCACACCACACGGCACGAGCAGCTCCATGAGGCGCTATTGTCGACTAAGAAGGCGAATGCCATGCCATGGAACCACAGTAAAGAATCACTTACGGGCGACAAGAGATTCGATACGCAACAGCTGAGGAAGTCGAGAGATTAGGTACGCTGAGAAATGCTCACAAAGGAAGGCGGTTTAAGATCGCACCTTCGCCGGTACGCGCGGCGTGATGGCGGGAGCGGCGGGGCGGCCTTCATCGTCCTCGTCGGATGAGATGCTCAGAATCTCGTCGTCGTCCGAATCGTCGTCGTCATCCTCCTCCTCTTTTAGGTCGCGAGCGACCTTACTCGCCTGCTGGCCAGGCGCGCTCTGCGCTGCGGCGCCGCGAGACGAAGTACGGCCCAAGCGGCCCGGCTTATCTCGCCCAGCGAGCCTGTCTAGCAGCGAGTAGCGCTTCTCGGAGGGCCTGCCGGCTCTCGACACGACGCGCACGAGCGACGACATGTCGAGCGACGCTGGCGCAGATACGACGCTAAGGACGCTCTCTTATGGTGTGAATGTGAACATGGGACGCCAAGGACGCTCTAAGGGAATGCCTTTGAGTAAAATCAAATGTCATCTAAGATCGCTCTAAGAATTGAATGCGAGCATTGATGTGAAGCTTGGGCTCGCTAGCGCTTCGCGAGAAGCCAAGGAACGACGACGGCGTGTCGCCTCCAGGGCGGACTGCTACGGAATCAGTACTTGGGCATGGGCAGAAGTGAGCAAGCGTAAGTGCTTGACCGCGGTTCAAGGGTGCTGTACTCGTAGTTCCTGAGATGCTCGTGGAGGGTGTGTTGTGTTGTCAGATGGCAGGCATTCCCAAGGTTTCGCCACAGAGCATGACCGGTTACACTACACAGAGTGTGCTAAACTCTAAATAAAAGGGAAGTTATACAGCGAAGTCTGCAAAATGTTCGACCGGTTCCCAAGCCTTCCAAATATGCAACCACCTGCCAAGACCCGCAAATATGCGAACAATTCCCAAGGCTGGAAATGTTGCCTGGGGGAACTCGGTGTTGCGTTGCGAGCAGGGGGGAAGTGATTGTAGCGAGCACATTTCCAGCCCCTCTCTAGTGGAAAGCAGATTGGTGAGAGACAGTAGCACCACCGAGCCTTCTGACATGCTGGTTGGTACGTGTACACGCATTTTGATGTCCACCCTTCACTCATCACTCAACAGCTTCTGCAGAAGCCGCTCACGCCTAGCACGCTAAAGGCCATTAGCCCCTAAGCTTAGGTCTTGAGCTTGTACGTTTCAGCTCTTCCTCCAGCTCTTGCCGCTAGTGTTTCTTTCCCATCATTAGTCCCCAAGCTTAGGTCTTGCCGCTAGTGTCAAGCGCCGCCATGGACGACGAGGAGCCCGATCGCTTAGGAGGTCGCACCTCGTCGCTCACGCATAAAGTCACTTCCACCGCTTCCGCCGCCGCTGCAGCCGCCGCCGCCGCCGCTCGCGGAGCCACGCAGTCCCTCTCCGCCGGCGAAGGCCGCTTCTCCAAGCGCGCCGGAACGGTGGGAAGCGGAAGGTCCGCGGAAGCTTCGGATGCGACGAGCTCCATGCGACGAACTGCGACGGGCAGCGCGCTGGCGTCGAAAATCGCACAGCCGCAGCAGGCGGCGAAGAACCTCGTGAAAGTTTTCGCCAAGGCCAAGGGCGGCGTAGGGAAGCGCATTGCGCGCGCGCAAACGGCTGTCCGCGCGCGCACGGGGATTGGACGGCGGGGCGGAGCGCAGGACGGGGATGGGGGGGAGGATGAGGACGAGGAGGAGGAGGAGGACGACGACGATGAGTCGGAGGCGGAGGACTCGGACGCCGAGGGCGGAGTGGGGTCGTCCGACGATGAAGAGAAGCCCAAGGAGGGCCCGCCCAAGGTGATAGAAGGGGATTGTAACGGGGGGAAGCAAACAGGTGGAGCCAAATCGAGGGTGATCATATTCCACTTGAAACCAGGGCAGGCTGTGGCCCCAATTCCCGTCATAAATGTGTTGCATGTCCCTGATGGATCGTTTCATCCCGCGGTTTCTCGTGCTGTCGCCGCCAGAAACCTCTATTTCTCAAAGCGAGCATCCATTCCAGCCCACTTGTACCGTGCCTCGTCTCTCCCTCCAATTCCGACGCAGGCGGGGAAGTTTCTGCGCAGCTTGCCGTCGCGGCGCATGTCGATTTATAACGCGGATGGGTTCATGATGGACGACGAGGATGCGTCGGAGTGGAACATGGTCAACGAAGATGTGGTGAGTCAACGGACGGCCAAGATGCGTTTGGGTGAAGCGTGGATGAGCCACATTTGGTACACAGCGGATGTTCTAGACAGAATTATGAGCTCTTGCCCGCATTTTCAAGCACTGCTTGACTCCAATGCCCACCCTCTCCTCCACCCGCCAGTCCTCCTGCCCTTTTCTCCGCAGCCCACAGCGGTCCTGACCCGCAATCACTGCCTTCGCCTCTGTCGCAGATCCCATCTGTCCTCTCACCCTCTCCTCCTCCCCCCCCACCTTGGTCCCCCCTTCCCTTCCTCTCGCCCCATCGCACCACCCCCTCTTCTCCCCTCCCCGCTCCCCCTTTCCAGATGGTGCGCGTGGTCGTCATCTGCGGGCGAGCAGCGAATTCTCCACCGCTGCCACTCGATACGTCCGCCTGCACCCCCCCCACCCCCCCAACCCAACCCCCCCTTCCCCCCCCCCACCCCCCTCTCTCCCTAACCCTCCAGCTGGTGCGCAAGGTGCGGGAGCTGCGGGAGTTGCGAGGAGACTTCGCATCGGCCACGAATGCGCCCGCCACCAAATCCGCTCTCGAGGGCCTTGGGCTGTCGGAGCTCAACGACCCCCTCGGATACGGGTGAGAGATACACGCAACAGTTGATATGGTTATGGGCAATAGTAGATAGGGGCAAAATTAGTCCTGGTGTTCTAGCAGGGAGACCCGCATGCGCCCACCACGAGTCCGGAGCATGACATTGCGTTGCACCGTGCCATCCCCCCCCTCCCCACTCTCCGCCCCCCTCCCCCGAATCCCTTGTGTCGTCTTCCGCTCCCTGCCAGGGCATCTGCCCCTCAACGCTTCCCCTGCTCACTTCCTTGCACGCCCTCCTTCCTTCGTCTCTCCCGCTCTCCTCCTCTCTCTGCCCCTCGCATCTCTTTGTCACTCCGCTCTCTCTGTCTGTCCCTCCCTCCCCTCCCGCCCCCATTAGTCCTGTGAACCACATGAGGGTGTGCCTCGCCATCGACTCCTCCACTGCTGTCATCCCTGCTCTCCCGTGCCTCTCCTCGCTCTTCCCCCCCCCTCCCTCCTTCCCCCCTCCCACCCCCCTCCTTCCACTCCCACCAAGCCGCTGAACCGCGTGAAGGTGTGTCTCGCCATTGGCCCCTCCACTGCTGACATCCCTCCTTGCTCTCCTTCGTCCCTCTCCCGCTCATTCCCGCTCCTCCCCCCTCCTCCTCCCCCCCTCCCGTCGCCCCCCCACCAGGCCCCTGAACCGCGTGAAGGTGTGTCTCGCCATCAACGCCTCCACCATCCCCGTTCCGGACGACAGGAGCATGGCCGGTGAGAGGAGAGCATGGCCGGTGAGAGGAAGCATGGCCGGTGAGAGGAAGCATGGCCGGTGAGAGGAGAGCATGGCCGGTGAGAGGGGAGCATGGCCGGTGAGAGGAAGCATGGCCGGTGAGAGGAGAGCATGGCAGGTGGGCCGCGTGCACGACGACACGCTCTCCTCTCACCTGGTAGAAAACTGGGCCTCAAGTTAAGCCCATTCGTCTACCTGGGGCGCGTGCACGATGACACGCTCTCCTCTCACCTGGTAGAAAAATGGGCCTCAAGTTGAGCCCATTCGTCTACCGGGGGCGCGTGCACGACGACATGCTCTCCTCTAGCCTGGTAGAAAAATGGGCCTCAAGTTGAGCCCATTCGTCTACCTGGGGCGCGTGCACGACGACACGTCTATCGAGGAGATGAGCTTGCATCCTGCGCATTCCCCTCTCCCCTCTCCCCCTTCCAGAAAAAGTCATTGTGTTCGGCCCCAAGTTCAGCTCGCCGTTCTACCTGGGGCGCGTGCACGACGACACGTCCATTGAGGAGCTGCGGGCGGGCATGGCGACGCTGGGCGCGGACATGGAGAACCAGCAGCAGCAGCTCAAGACGCTCGTCAAAGAGAACTTCGACTCCTTCGTCTCCTGCAAATCCACCATCGAAGGTGCGGTGGGGGGGGGGAGGGGGAAGGTGCGGGATGTGGGGAGGGAAAAGGGGGGGTGGAGGATGGTTGATTTCCTCGTGCATGACGGCATGTTTATCAAGGAGCTGCGGGCGGGCATGGCAGGTCTGGGCGCGGACATGGAGAACCAGCAGGAGTGATGTGATGCAAACTTTCTCTCAGGCATACCAACCAGCCGCAGCGACAGCGACAGCGTGTGATGTGATCTTCCCCCCTTCCCTCCCCACTCACCATCAACCCTTGGAGCGTCCACCCCCGTGTTTCCCACCAGACATCCAGAAAGAGGTGCATGAGATGGAGAGGCGCCGCGACAGCGTGTTCTTTCACAGGCGCAGAAACTCCTTTCAATCGCTGTTGCTAACGGCCCCTCCCTCCCGCCAGACATCCAGAAGAAGGTGCGCGAGATGGAGAGCCGCAGCGACAGTGGCACGGAGGAGATTCTGGTGGCCACCCGCAACGTGCACGAGATGGCGCAGGCCGCCTTCGGCCCGCTGCTCGAGCGACAGGTGCGATTCAGACAGGTGGCGGCTCAAGACAGGCGAGACTCAGACAGGTGATTCTGGTGGGATTCAGGCAGGTGGCTCAGACAGGCAGATTCTAACAGGTGCGGCTCAGACAGGCAGATTCTAACAGGTGCGGCTCAGACAGGTGATTCTAACAGGTGCGGCTCAGACAGGCAGATTCTAACAGGTGCGGCTCACACAGGCAGATTCTAACAGGTGCGGCTCACACAGGCAGATTCTAACAGGTGCGGCTCAGACAGGTGATTCTAACAGGTGCGGCTCAGACAGGCAGATTCTAACAGGTGCGGCTCAGACAGGCAGATTCTAACAGGTGCGGCTCAGACAGGCAGATTCTAACAGGTGCGGCTCACACAGGCAGATTCTAACAGGTGCGGCTCACACAGGCAGATTCTAACAGGTGCGGCTCAGACAGGTGATTCTAACAGGTGCGGCTCAGACAGGCAGATTCTAACAGGTGCGGCTCAGACAGGCAGATTCTAACAGGTGCGGCTCACACAGGCAGATTCTAACAGGTGCGGCTCACACAGGCAGATTCTAACAGGTGCGGCTCACACAGGCAGATTCTAACAGGTGCAGCTCAGACAGGCAGATTCTAACAGGTGCGGCTCAGACAGGTGATTCTAACAGGTGCGGCTCAGACAGGCAGATTCTAACAGGTGCGGCTCAGACAGGCAGATTCTAACAGGTGCGGCTCACACAGGCAGATTCTAACAGGTGCGGCTCACACAGGCAGATTCTAACAGGTGCGGCTCAGACAGGTGATTCTGGTGGCCACCCGCGACGTGCACGAGATAGCGCATGCCGCCTTTGGCCCGTTGCTCGAGAGACAGACAGGTTGGAAAAGAGAGCCACACAGGTGGGATGCACATGGGTTGCTGCTGTCTCGGCCCCCAGTTATGACCTTCCCATCTCCCCTGCCTCTGCACACTCCCCCTCTCTTCCTCCCTCGCCATGCCCCCCCCCCACTCCCCCCGAGCAGAAGCAAGTGGACCGCATTCGCTCGGTGCAGGGGCTGCTGCTGCGCTTCCGCACGCTCTTCAACCTGCCAGCTGTCATGCGCGCATTCGTCCAGCATGGCGAGTACGACCGTGCTGTCCACGAGTACCTCAAGGCCAAGTCCATCTCGCTGCCCGCACACGTGAGTGGCTTGGCCTAAATCCCAACAGCCCATCTCCATTGTGAGTAGCCAAATGCCCACCCACAGCCCATCTCCCTGCTTGCGCATGTGAGTGGCATCAAGTCCACCTCGTTGTTCCTCCCCATTCCCCTCCCCTGCACTGTGGCCGTCTCCTCCAGTCCAACGTCCTGCGCCGTGTGTTGTTGGAGGTGCACAACACAACACAAGGTGGTGGCGGAGCTCCCAACTATCCGATGCCCTTGCTTCACCCCTTTTCCCCTTTTCCCTTCTCTCCCCCCCCTCCAACCCCACCTCCCCCCCCCTTCTCCCCCCCAGTCCAACATCCTGCGGCGGGTGATGGCGGAGGTGCACAAGGTGGTGGCGGAGTTCCACGAGGTGCTGTACTCCAAGATGGACGACCCTAATGCTGACCAGGCGCAGGTGAGAGGGAAAGAGGGCGCACACTGGGAGTCATACTAAGCCCGATGGGGCTTTAGGTGAGAGAAGTAACATTAGAGAGAAGGAGACGGGAGGGGTGCGACGGGAGGGGCTCGCCGGGAGGAACGCGTCGGGAGCAGCGCTTTGGAAGGAGCGCTACGGGACGAGCGCTACGGGAGGAGTGCTGCGGGAGGAGTGCTGCGGGAGGAGTGCTGCGGGAGGAGTGCTGCGGGAGGAGTGCTGCGGGAGGAGTGCGCGAGGAGACACGCAGTGCGAGGGGCGCGAGGCGGAAGCGGGAGAGGAGGGGATGCCGGAAGGGACAGCCGGGTAGCCTGAGGGCGGGTTAGGCCTGGAGAGCGAGGAGGGGAGGACGGAATAGGCCGTGCTAGTTAGGATCGACCGGGTGGCATGAGCCATTGGCTCTGATACCATGAGAGAAGTAACATTAGAGAGAAAGCATTGCACTAGAATGAGAGCCAAGAGGCTCTAGAGTACAACCAAGGAGGAAAAGGAAAGGTTGGAAGGGAAGCCACTGCTATTGGCTACAATAGTGGCCAATGGGAGAGGTAGCTGGGAGGGGAGGCAACCCCAAAGTGTGGTAGTTGCTGATTGGTGGAGCCTTGGGACCATTTGGTTGGAAAGTGCCAACCAAAGGACCAAGGCCAAACCCAATCTTGACCAACCCAAAGTGTGGTTGGTGAACCCAACAACAACCCCCCATTAACTTAAATGTCTACACCCCCTATTCTAGTCATGCATGTTGTATATAAGTATAGATTACAACGTTAAGGAGTTCCACAAGGTGGAGTACGCCAAGATGGACGACCCCACCGCCGACCAGGCGCAGGTGAGAGGGATAGAGGGCGCACACTGGGAGTCATACTAAGCCCGATGGGGCTTTAAGGAGTTCCACGAGGTGCTCTACGCCAAGATGGACGACCCAAACTCGGACCAGGCGCAGGTGAGAGCACTGGGGGCTGCTGGCAGTCAAATCGGGCTCCATGGGGGTGTGAGTGAGTAGTGCCGTGAGGTGCTCTGTCCCAAGATGGACGATCCCCTTGTTTCTCGGAGGTGAGAATGATCCCCTTCGTTCACAACCCCTCCCCTCTCCCCTCCATCTCCCCACCTCTTCCCCAGGTGGAAAACGCCATTCGGTTGCTCCTAGAGCTGGAGCCAGACAGCAACCCCATCTGGCACCACGTGGCCATGCAGGACCGCCGGATGCGCCCCTCTTACTAGCCCCCTGTCTCCCTCCCCTTTCTATCCCCCCCTCGTCTCTTCCCTCTCTCCCGCTGCCAGGTAGAGAACGCCATCCGGCTGTTGTTAGAGCTGGAGCCGGACAGCGACCCCATCTGGCACCACGTGACCATGCAGGACCGGCGCATCCGCGGGCTGCTGGAAGCGTGCGTGCAGCAGCACGAGAGCCGGATAGCGACACTCAAGAAGGAGCAGCACGAGAAGCGCGAGGCCGAGGCCCGGTGGCGGCAGATACAGCAGGAGTCCAACGAGGGGGTGAGTAGGTGTTGAATGCGGTTGGGTCTTATAAGGCTGAGTTGTGTCTCACTTTTATGCCACAAGTGTTTCTAAGAGTTATTGTATCTCCGCCGGACGTTGAAGCACTCTGTGAACAAACCGCCACCTACTCCCCCATCTACCATACCCCCAGGAGCACGTGAGTCTCTCCCTGCTGCTGGGCTAGCCAGCCGTGGATGACTCATCAGACGGGCTGATGGACGGGGAGGTGTTTGACGAGGCGCACACACGGCTCATGGGTCATCAGGCCCATTGCCCCAACCACTTTCCCCCTCCTCCCACCTACATGACCGCAAACGCGTTTAGCGTTTAAACGCTAAACGCGCTTGCTTGAGTTTCTAAACGCTAGAGTAAACGCACGCCCGGGTAGCCGTAAAATTTCCCCCGAGCAGGGTAAAAAAACCTGGGATAGGTAGGGGGAGGCAAGGGGATTATGGTATACAACATTTTTACTCCAAATTGTTTCACATAGAGCTAGTTTTGCCATGTCAAATCCACACGTCAACGATTCGTAAATATTAGACGCTGCAGACGCTGTAGGATTAGCCTCTGCAGCATTAGGGGGGTCGACATGGGCATGGGCCCTTAACTTAGCGCGAAATTAAGTGGCCAGGGTGGGTGGGAGATGAGAGAATAATGACGAGATCTGAACTACGGCTATGGCGCGCGGAACTCTAGGGTTCCCGTTTTTTATGTTGAAGAGATTGTGATGGAAGGAGGGGAGAAAGTGGTTAGGTTGGAGTGAAAGTCGTAGATGAAGAGGGTGCTGTGCGGTTGAGCGGGGCAAAAGGGTTGGATGCATTTTTTGGTCGCTAGGTTGGGATTTGAGACTTGGCAAATGTCTAGTTGAATTCGCCAGGTCGCCATGTCGCGGAAAAAGATGGATCGGTTTTTTAGCCGGGCTGCCCCTAAAAATTTACCCGAGCGTCTAGCGTTTAAACGCTAAACGCTGCCCCGCCAGAGCGTTTGCGGTCACGTAGCCTCCCACTGTCTGTCCCCCCCTTCTCTACCCTCTCACAGGAGGACGTGGACCTGTCTCTGCTGCTGGGCCAGCCAGTGGCGGACGACTCGTCGGACGGGCTGATGGACGGGGAGGCGTTTGACGAGGCGCACACGCGGCTCATCCTGCGCCTCACCGCCATCCTCAAGCTGCACGTGCCGCGCTTCTGGCGCCTCACACGCTCCATCTTCTCGGGGAAGTTCGCCAGCTTTGCCACCTCGAAAGACGGCACGGTGGGTGCTGCTGGGTACTGCAGGCTCTGCTAGTGCTGGGTACTGCAGGCTCTGCTAGTGCTGGGTACTGCAGGCTCTGCTGGTGCTGGGTACTGTAGGCTCTGCTGGTGCTGGGTACTGCAGGCTCTGCTGGTGCTGGGTACTGCAGGCTCTGCTGGTGCTGGGTACTGCAGGCTCTGCTGGTGCTGGGTACTGCAGGCTCTGCTGGTGCTGGGTACTGCAGGCTCTGCTGGTGCTGGGTACTGCAGGCTCTGCTGGTGCTGGGTACTGCATGCTCTGCTGGTGCTGGGTACAACCTTAGACTGTAGCTACTACTACCTTCTGGCGCCTCACACAGTTCGTCTTCTCTGGAAAGTTTGCCAGCTTCGCCACTTCCAAGGATGGCACGGTGGGTGGGTGCTGGCGATGGAGGGTGCTGGCGATGGAGGGTGCTGGCGATGGAGGGTGCTGGCGATGGAGGGTGCTGGCGATGGAGGGTGCTGGCGATGGAGGGTGCTGGCGATGGAGGGTGCTGGCGATGGAGGGTGCTGGCGATGGAGGGTGCTGGCGATGGAGGGTGCTGGCGATGGAGGGTGCTGGCGATGGAGGGTGCTGGCGATGGAGGGTGCTGGCGATGGAGGGTGCTGGCGATGGAGGGTGCTGGCGATGGAGGGTGCTGGCGATGGAGGGTGCTGGCGATGGAGGGTGCTGGCGATGGAGGGTGCTGGCGATGGAGGGTGCTGGCGATGGAGGGTGCTGGCGATGGAGGGTGCTGGCGATGGAGGGTGCTGGCGATGGAGGGTGCTGGCGATGGAGGGTGCTGGCGATGGAGGGTGCTGGCGATGGAGGGTGCTGGCGATGGAGGGTGCTGGCGATGGAGGGTGCTGGCGATGGAGGGTGCTGGCGATGGAGGGTGCTGGCGATGGAGGGTGCTGGCGATGGAGGGTGCTGGCGATGGAGGGTGCTGGCGATGGAGGGTGCTGGCGATGGAGGGAGGGTGCTGGTCTGATTGCAATGCCAGTGAGTTGTCATCACCTTCTGGCGCCTCAACCACATGGATGTGTGGGCGTGGATGTGTGGGCGTGGATGTGTGGGCGTGGATGTGTGGGCGTGGATGTTTGGGCATGGATGTTTGGGCATGGATGTGTGGGCATGGATGTGTGGGCATGCATGTGTGGGCATGGATGTGTGGGCATGCATGTGTGGGCATGGATGTGTGGGCATGCATGTGTGGGCATGGATGTGTGGGCATCTATGTTGGCATAAACGCGTTTCCGCGTTTTTGCGTTTCGTTTGGAACGCTTGCGTTCAGGACGCAAAACGTAGGATTTCAGGCTTCAAATACGCTTGGAAAACGCCTGCCCGGGCAGGCGGAAATTTTTGCCCGGGCAGGGGATATAGGGGGAGTGGGGGGGAGGGGGAGGAGAGGGGTGAGGAGGGGACAGCAGAAATTATCTTTTCACATTAACATCACGCTAAGGACACACATTCACAGCCACATCTCTCGACTACCTATCTCCTCTCCATCATCTATGCCTCTTCCATCCGACCTTCTACATCTCCCCTACTCATTCTCATCCTCCATCACATTATCTTCCCCCTCCGCCGCCACATCTCCTGACTACCTATCTTCTCTCCATCATCTATGCCTCCTCCATCCGACCTTGTACATCTATCCTACTCATACTCATCCTCAAGCACATCATCTTCCCCCTCCTCCGCCTCCTCCTCGAGCACATTGTATCCCTCCGGCATGGGGGGCTCGGGGATGTTCCCAGCAACAACCCCAAGCCCCTCCTCCTTCTTGTACCAGTTGTGGACCACATGCCAGTTGTGGGCCACGTACACCAAATCCCGGCACTTCTCCGACCCCAAGCGGTTGCGCTTGGCGGTGTGGACTGAGTCCCACACCGCCCAATTGCGCTCGCATGCGGCTGCAGAGACGGCCTGTGTGAGGACACGGCAAGCGAGGGCGGTGAGGGCGGGATGGTCGGTGCCATGCCAAGTCCACCACCGCACCATGTCCATCTCTCCCGCCTTCACCAACTCACGGTCAGCGATTGCCTCGGCAAGGCCAAAGCTGCCGCGCATGGTGAAGAAGTCGGTGAGGCCGTCCTGAAGCACCACTGATTCCTTCACCGTCCTCCCATTCGGGAGGGTGACCATGCGCCGGTCGAAGTGGGTGGAGAGGAACTTTTTCAAAACAGTGGTGCACTCCTTATCCTTGCGGAAGATTCCCTCTGTTTGGTTGGCCGGATTGAGCATCCGGCCAACCACGTGCAAGGGGCAAGCCAAGTCTTGATCCCACCTCTTCTTCACCAACCCCCGGATCTCTTCCGCCTCGTCCTCGTTCAGGAACTCCTCCCCATGCTTGTCGAGCATGTCATCCATGTCCACAGTGAGTTGCAACATGAGGTCGTAAATCTTACCCATCATTCCCTTCGCCGACGAATCCGTGGCCCGCATCACCATAAATGGCAGCTGCATGAGGTGGGTGAAAGCTTCAGCCACATTCCACCACTCACCATCCATGACCGCCGTGCTAAACACCTCTGCCGCTGCCCTCCTCGCCCCTGCAGCAGCAAAATCCTTCCACTCGTTGCTCAGGACGAGTTGCGTCAAGGCCCGCCGCACCTCAGTCAAGCGCCCCACCGCTATGTAGGTGGTCCCGAAGCGAGTACCGGCCGGCCGCAAAACTTGTTTCGTCTTTCCCCCATCCACCTTGCAGTTGCGCATGAAGTTCCGCGTGAACTGATGTTTGCGGACGAAGGCGATGATGTAATCTGCCTTCTCCACCACTGCCCGCGCCCACGCCATCTTCCCAATGTCCTCCATGAGGAGGTCCAAAACATGCGTGGCGCACGGGACCTTCTCAATGTGGGGAAATTCTGCCATCAACTCCCTGCACGCCGCGCCGTAATTGCTGCCGCCGTCGGTGCAGAACGCAACGATGTTTTCCGGGCCCACGCGCTGCACGATCGGGCGGAGGATGCTCGCGATGTACCCGCCCGTTTTGAACTCCATGTTCGTATCGATCGACTCCACAAACACTGCCCCACTGTCGTTGATGAGAAGTATGTTTGCCTGCGGCCTCCCGTTCACATCAGTCATCATGTCGCTGGCTAGGGTTACGCCATCCCTCTCCCAGCTGGCGGCGATGGGGCCAAGCGCTGTCTCCACACGCGTGCGGCATGTCTGCAGCCCCGCACCTCCTATGTACCGCCGCTTGGGGGCAACATAGGAAGCGCCTGCACGACCAATGCAGGAGATGGCGTTGGTGAAGATGGGGTTGTCCGCGATGTGCTCTGGCAGACGAAGAGCCGCGAACATGAGGCATATCGCCTCATCCGCAGCTTTCCGATTGCACGTGGGCTCATCACCGAAAAAATCGGTCATGCGGCCTCTCATCCCGTCGCCGCCGACAGCTTGCAGCGCCAAGGACTCTGCACGACGCCTGCAGTCCCTCGACTCATTGTTTCGCTCCTGATGCGCCTTGACCTCGTCACGAGCTTTCTTAGGAACGGCGGGGCAGAGGTGGACGCCACGACGCTTCATCCCGTTCCACTCCGTCAAATGCTGTGCGGCGCGCGTCGTGCCACCAACGAATGTCGCGGGACAGTAGTGACACTTTCGCGACTCTGTCAGCTTACCGTCCGCTGCCACACCCGTCCTAAAGTGCTTGAATATCGCATGGTCGGGCTGTTCGACGAACGTGGTGACACCGGTGGAACCCTCGCCCTCATCCGATTGAGGAGCATGTACTGGCGATGAGGAGGACGCCATGTTAGAGGCTGGAAATCGGATAGGTTAGCTGCTGGAATCTAAAACGTAAGGGTAGGAGTAGATCGTGGCTGTGCATGGAAGGTGAGCCAAGTTCTCCTCTACATATAGATCTGGATCTAGTAAGGGGGAATGGGTTGGGAATTCAAACACGTTGGGAAAAGGGAGGGAGAGACTGACAAGTTTATGTGTCGCTGTGAAAATTTTCGCGAATGTGCAACGCGCGAAATGTGCTGTCGATTCGCGACGCGCGGCGAAATGCAATTTCGATTTCTGATATCGCGCGTTTTTTTTTTGCGTTTTTTGCTTCGGTCAGCCCGGTAAAATTCCGCGGTGCGTTCGAGCGTTTTGATGCGTTTTTGAGTATTGCGTTAAAACGTTTGCGTTTAAACTCAAAACGCAAACTTGCAAATGCGTTTTTGTCAACCTAGGTGGGCATGCATGTGTGGGCATGGATGTTTGGGCATGCATGTTTGGGCATAAATGTGTGGGCGCTTCATCTTCTCGGGGAAGTTCGCCAGCTTCGCCAACTCCAAGGATGGCTCGGTGGGTGCTTCGAACTCAGTGGGTGCGTCTGACTCGGTGGGTGCTGCTGGCTCGGTGGGTCTTTCTGGCTCGGTGGGTACTTGTGGCTGGGTGGGTGCTGCTGGCGCGGTGGGTGCTGATGGATGTGAATGCAGAGGGCTGTGAGCACCCCCCGGCGCATCACCCGCATCTACTCGGGAAGGATTTGTAACTTCCATTCACGTTCCTCCTTTCACCGCTCTGCACCGCACCCCTTCCCCCCCTCTGCCGCCCCTCTCCCCCACCAGGGCACGGGCCAGGCACGGAGTCAGGGGGGGTGGCGGGGGCGGGGAGGGGAGGAGGGGACGCGGTACACGAAGCACTCGGAGGATGAGGTGCTGCTCATGGTGCTGGGCATGATGGGCGTGTATGAGACCAAGGTACGTGCTTGGCTGAATGTGGCGGCACCATTCATCCTCACATGTATTCCATTCGGGTCAATGAACCCAACAGATCTACTGCTGCTGTCGCACGTACCCTTTCTCCACTGTTACGAATCTAAGACTCTTCCCCCCTGGCCCAGGCAGCATTCGCGCAGCTTGAGGCAGCCAGCACATTGCGTCCGCATGTGCGTTGCACTGTGGAGGAGGTGGCACACGCATGTGCTGCTGCTGTTAAGTCACATGCCCTGCGTCTCCCCCGTCCATCAGGTCCAGGCCGCCTTTACCCAGCTCGAGGCAGCGAGCACCCTTCGTCCGCACTGCACATGCGCCGGGCAGTGGTGGAGGAGGCACAGGCATGTGCCGCTCTCACTGCTGCTTCTCTTGCTCAATCTCTTCCCACTGCAACCACCCGTCGTGCTCCCGTCCATCAGGTCCAAGCCGCCTTCACCCAGCTGGAGGGAGCCAGCACCCTGCGCCCGCACATGCGCCGGGCAGTGGAGGAGGTGGCAGCAGCCTGTGCTGCTCTCGCTGTCGGCGACAATGCCCCGCCGCAAGCAGGTGAGCTCACACCGCCTGTGCTGCGTTGAGATGCTTCGCCCCCCGCATCTGCCTGCTCACACGAGCCATCGCAGCGGCGCCTCTTAGCGTTTTCTCATGCACGCCCTCCCTACCACTGCCCTCCTTTTCTGAACTGTGCAAGCGTTGCACCAGCTGCAGGTGGAGATCACCTCTCGCTTCGTGAGCCGTACCTGTCTGCTCACCAGAGGCATCGCATCGGGGCTGGTGGCCCACGAGGACTGGCGCCCTGTGCCCTCTGCCTCTGCCTCCCTCCCCACCGTTTCTCACCGCGCCGCCCCGTGGACCCTGGCTCCCTCTCTCTGCATCCCTCTGCTTTTCCCTCTCGTCTCCCTCCCCCTGCCCACCCCCCCCTCGATCAACAACAGTGCAAGCGCTGCACCAACTCCGTGTGGAGATAACATCTCACTTTGTGAGCCGTGTGTGTCTGCTCACACGCGGCATCGCAGCAGAGCTGGTGGCGGACGAGGACTGGCGCCCGTGCCCTCTGCATCGGCCTCCCTCCCCAACGCTGCTCACCATGCCACCCCGTGCCCTGCGCCTCAGCCCTCTGCTTCTCTCTCTCCTCCCCCCCCTTCCCCCCCTCTCTCCGCCCCAGTGCAAGCGCTGCACCAGCTACGAGTGGAGATAACATCTCGCTTCGTGAGCCGTGTGTGTCTGCTCACGCGCGGCATAGCAGCGGAGCTGGTGGCGGATGAGGACTGGCGCCCCGTGCCGTCAGCGCTGCGCATGGGGTCGCCCTTTGCCATTTCCTCCTTCCCCTTGCGGCTCAGAGACCGCCTGGCTAACGCGTTCGAGCACGTCACAGCGTGAGTTGGTCAGGCACCCCTGTGTTGACCGTGCATTGCAGCAAGTGTTGACGTAGTTGTGTTGGCCATCCATTCCTCTCTCACTGCCCGCACCCCAGAAAGCTGAATGAGCGACATGGCGGACGAGGAGGAGGAGGAGCTGTTCTCCCCCAACATGCAGCAGCTGCTGGGGTTCCCTTGCCTCCATGGCAACAGCCCTCACCCTCACTCCCACTCCCTCCCTTCCTATTTCACTGCCCGCACCCCACTGGTGCTGAACGACATGGCGGACGAGGAGCAGAGGAGCTCATTCCCCCCGACGCATGTCATCTGCGCATGCCTTGAACTAACTCACTCATCGTCATCCCTTCCCCTCTCCGTCCTGAATGCAGGGTGCTGAACGACATGGCGGACGAGGAAGAGCTGATCCCCCCCAACGCACGGCAGCTGCCCGGGTTCCCGACAGCGGATGAGGTGGAGGAGGCCATCCGCCTCATGTACGAGTCCGTCAAGAAGACGTTCGCCGACGCCTTCCAAGACGCCTGTGGTGAGTGCAGTGATGTGGTTTAGTGCGGTGGGATGCGGTGCGTGCTGGTGGTGTCATGGCACGCATGTGGTGCCTCATAGTCCCCCTCCCCCCTGCCCTTTTCCCCACGCGCCCAAACCAGATGCGCTGACGAAGCTCTCTCAAACAGCCATCACCACCACTGCTCCTGACGCTGCTGCCGCCAGCGGCAACACCGAGGGAGCTGGGGAGGGGGGAAAGCAGGAGGGAGGGGAGGGGGCTGCTGCTCCGGCTGCTCCTGCTGCCGCTGTGCCGTCTGCCAACCCGGATGACATCCCTGCCGAGCCCTATGTGGGGCTCAAGGTGCGGCGTTTTCTAGTGCTTGCGTTGAAGGAAATGGCTTGTTGGTGAGGAGACGAAGGGGTGCTCCAGCAACCCGGATGACATCCCTGCCGAGCCCTATGTGGGGCTCAAGGTGCGCCTCCTGCTCACCTACACCTCATGCTCACCTTGCGCTTCTGCTCATGCTTCTCAGCCACTGTTTTTGCATGCATGTCAGTATGTGTGCCTTCCTGCTGCTCACTCTGTCCCTCTGTGCATGTGCGTGTGCATGTGCATCTGTGTGTGCATGTGTGTGTGCATGTGCGGGTGCACGTGCATCTGTCTGTGCATGTGTGCGCACGTGTGCATGTGCGGGTGCATGTGCATCTGTCTGTGCATGTGTGCGCACGTGTGCATGTGCGGGTGCATGTGCATCTGTCTGTGCATGTGTGCGCACGTGTGCATGTGCGGGTGCATGTGCATCTGTCTGTGCATGTGGGCGCACGTGTGCAGGTGGGGGAGGAGCTGACGACGGCGGACCAGCGCCTGCTCATGCTGCTCAGCAACTGCGGCTTCTGTCGCTCTGTGCTCGCTCCCTACCTCGCTGACAAATTCACATCCCTCTGGCTCAACCCCTACAGGTAAGCTTCCCTGCTTGCTTTCAGGTATGTTTCCAGGTGTGCAGCCAAGTGTGCATGTCTCTCTGTGCTCACCCCCTACCTCGCTGACAAAGTCACGTCCCTCTGGCTCAACCCCTACAGGTAGGGTTTCTGGTAAGATTCCAGGTATATCTTCAGGTGTCTTTTCACGTACGCCAATTGCTCCGTGCCCGTCTCCTTCCTCCCTTTTATCAACTTTTCTAAACGCATCCCCACCCCTGTGTTGAGCTGGAGATGGTGAGCACAAACCACCAGGTGCAGCCACAGGACCAGCAGCCGAAGAGTCTACCTTGTGAGTTCCCACACGTCTTCCACATCCCTCTATCCCCTCACCCCTTTCGTCCTCCAGCGTTGAGCTGGAGATGGTGAGCGCCACGGCGTACCGCCAGGTGCAGCCGCAGCACCAGCAGCAGCAGCAGCTGGCGGAGCTGCGGGCCGTGCTGGGGGAGGTGGAGCGCGCCTTTGTGGAGCTCGAGGCATGGCTGGGGGACCAGTACATCGCTATTAAAGCCAACCATCTTGGGTTCGCTGTGATCAAGTATTTTCTAGAGGATGGGACCTCATGGGCCACGGCACCTCCTGTCAGGGTGAGTCAGCCTTGTTGGTAACTTGGTACATAGCATTGTTGTTCCAGTGGGTTTGTGGAGCTCGAGGCGTGGCTGGGCGAGCAGGACATCGCCATCAAGGCCAACCACCTGGGATTCGCTGTGCTCAAGTATTTCTTGGAAGATGGCACGTCGTGGGCCACAGCGCCTCCAGTCAGGGTGAGTTACCCTGCCCTGCCACTCATTGTATCATCTGGTTGTTGAGGGCCCGTTCTTGTCCTGCTGCGTTCTAAGTTAGCACTTTACGCCCCTACCGGTCACGTAAACGTACAGTTACGTGTACGTTTACGTTTACGTTTGTTTACGCGTAAGTTTATGTAAAGTCGTACGGGCAGGGCAAAAAAAAAGAGACGGGAAAAAAAAAAAAAAAAAAAAAAAAAAAAAAAAAAAAACGCGAAATTGGAAGCTACGCAGCCCGCATTAGGTGTGAAAGGCGGTTGCGATGCAGTGTATTCGCGGATCCTAGGTCTAGAAGAAGTCTGCAAGCGTGGAATTGTTTAGGCGCTGATACGCCAAGCGACAGATGTCTCAAACCCTTAGGCGGCGGATTAGGAGCAGAATGGTCAGGCGAGAGAGAGGGTATAGTGATTTCGCTCAAGTAATACCAAGGGACGTGGGCGCTGGATTTATGGCAGGCGGGGGGGAGGGGAATTGGGTATAATCTACGTCTACTAGGCTATGTTGAATTGCTTAGATACTTGGTCGTGCTAGGTTTCCGATGACGGGGAGATCTGCTGGTAGTTGGGTAGCAGAACTTGCTTCCCGATGAGTTTGAGTTTCGCTGCACATGCGATGTGACGAGTTGGAATGTTCACTGGAATGAGGGCGTGCTCCTACCGCGTGTCAAGCGCGCATGTCAGGGAACCTTGTGTCAGCTCTCGCCCCTGAGATCTGACACGAGGTGCAAAAAGAAATCGGGCAGGCTGATTTTATTTTTTAGCAGACCGTAAACGTATGCCTTTTTGGGCGCACTTACGTAAACTACCGTAAACGTAAACCAACGTAAATGTAAGGTGCCCACTTAGGCTGTGTTGCTGTGTAGCTGCGTGCCCTGCTGGGAGATGTGGAGCGTGAGTTCGTGGAGCTCGAGGCATGGCTGGGCGACCAGCTTGCTCCTCCAGCCATGTGTGTCTGCTGGCTCGCGCGTGTCCGCGGAGCTCGAGGCGTGGCTGGGCGATCAAAAGACATTGCCAGTGAGGCCAACCATCTGTTGTTCGCTGTTAGCAGGCATTTCCTTCAGGATGGCACCTCCTGGGCCACTGCCCCACCTGCCATGGTAGGTCCATCGTAGGGCTGTCCACTGATGGCCGTGGGTCTGTGTCCTCATTCCTCACACTCCCTTCCTCTTCCTTTTCTCTCTCCCCCTAAGCCTCCTCCCCACACCCACACTTACTTTTCCTCACTTTGTCCCGCCCTCTCCTCTCTCCCTGCCACAGGGTCTGCGGGACTCGGCTCTCGAGCTCATGCACCCTCTCGTGGCCGTCCATGCTGAGGTCAGCACATGCCCATGCTAAGGTCCGCACATGCCCATGCTGAGGTCAGCACATGCCCATGCTGAGGTCAGCTCATGTTCATGCTGAGGTCAGCTCATGTCCATGCTGAGGTCAGCACGTGACCATGCTGAGGTCAGCACGTGTCCATGCTGAGGTCAGCACATGTCCATGCTTTCTATCCATGCGATGTCCCAAACTATGCGGCCAAACTGAGGTTAGAGAGGCTTGGAACAGTGCATGGGGCATCTTTTACAGTGTATGCCACATGCGCATGCCACACATCACATATCATACGGCATGCCCCACACCCCATGCCACCCATATCAGGTGCACGTGGGGTGCCGGCCATTCGTGGACAAGGCCATCAACACGCTGGCAGAGGGGCTCATGGACGCGCTGCAGCAAGTGGCGTACCAGCATGAGGACCTGCAGCGCTTAGATGCCAACGCCTTCTGCCAGCTCTCGGTGGAGGTAGGTGTGCCTGAGGGGGATACGAGTCGCTGTAAACGCTGCAGCAGGTGGCGTACCAGCACGAGGACCTGCAGCACCTGGACGCCAACGCATTCTGCCAGCTTTCAGGGGAGGTGAGTTGATAAGGGTCTCTGTGGAGGTGAGTTGATAAGGGTCTCCGTGGAGGTGAGTTGATAAGGGGCTCCGTGGAGGTGAGTTGATAAGGGGCTCCGTGGAGGTGAGTTGATAAGGGGCTCCGTGGAGGTGGGTGTTATCTGAGGCCAGCTGTGGTTGGAGCTTTTGAGGCGGCTTAAATGGGTCACACGAACACTCCAGTCTTCTCATTGTTTCATCGCTCCTCCTCCCCCCCCCCCCTCACCCCCCACCCCCCACACTTCACTGTACTCCCTCCCTCCCTAGCAGTGTTTCCAGCTTATCTTCCCCTCCGCCCCCCCTCCCCTGTCCCCCGCACCCAGCTGGACTACTTCGAAACCGTGCTGCACCTCGTCTCCTCCCCGGCTCTGGAGGAGATCCTCTTCCAACTGTGCGAGATGCTGCTGCAGCGCTGGTGGTCCCCATACAGTCCTCCTTTCCGCACTCTCGTCAATGCATTCTGTACCCCCAACAGCTGGACTACTTTGAAACCGTGCTGCACCCCTTCTCATCCCCGGCCTTGGAGGAGATCCTCTTCCAGCTGCGCGAGATGCTGCTGCAGCGCACCCTGCAGACCCTGCAGCAGGAGGCAGCTCGCCCCGCCAACGCACGCGCGAGAGCGGACAGCGAGGACAGAGATGGCCTGCCCCAGACTGCTGCTGACCTCAAGGTGAGTCCTGAGGTGCTGCTACAGCACATGCTACAGAACATGCCACAGCACATGCTACAGAACATGCCACAGCACATGCTACAGCACATGCTAACGACGCTGCAGGCAGAGAGGTCGGCCAACGCGCGGACGAGAGCGGACAGCGAGGACAGAGATGGCCTGCCACAGACCGCTGCGGACCTCAAGGTGAGGGTGGATGTGGCATCAAGGTGGGGCTAGAGGCAGTGAGGAGCAGGAACGGGACAGCCTGCCACACACTGCTGCTGACCTCCAGGTAAGTCTCTTCCCTCAGTTTCTTCAAGAAATCCCAATCAAATCTGCGTACTGACTGTCAAGTCACCAGATTTTTCACCATTCACTTGTCTCTTCTCTTCCCTCCATCCCCCACACCCCCCCTCACCAGGTGATCGCGAATGACATCAGCACCGACCTTCTCCCCTTGACCTTCCTCCACTCTTCTCTGTTCGCCCTCCTCACCCCCCCTGCACCAGGTGATGGCGGACGACATCAGCTCGGGCCTGCTGCCCTACGAGCTGCGCCGCACCAAGGTCAACGTCTTCTGCTTCACAGGCAAGGTTCAGATAGACCCTCCCCCAGAAGAGCCCCAAGTGGTGGAGGTCCTCCCTGCCCGCCCCGCCGCCCCTCCTGCCGTCTACACCCCCAACTCCGCCCCGCCCCCGTCCGTCAACACCCCGAGAGGCAACCCCGGAAACCTGAACCGGACGTTTTCGGGGTCGAGTTCTGGGTCGAGTGCAGTGTACAGTCAGCAGTCTGGTAGCAGTGCCCGGCGGCAGAGTAATTTGTCGGCGGACCGCCAGGGAGCGACGGGGAGGGGTAGGGGTGAGGAAGGGTACCCGCCTAGGACGGGTGCGAGGGGCACGGGGGAGGTGTCATCTGGGCGCGAAGGGCGGGCTCGTCGAGCCGGTAGTGGCTCGAGGGCTTCTTCCCAGGCGTACTAGTGGCAAGGAATTCGGGTTAGCTTGTCTTGAGGCCTAATTAACATTTGTCTTCAAAGTTGTGTGATGTGCAATAGCTTTGTATATGTTACAACATTGAGATGAAATTGAACCATGGCTTTGGTTTCAGGGCTGTAAGTTAGGAGTTCCTTAGAGAAATGAACCCCAAGCAATATACCCTGACCTGAGTGTGCAGCCGTTAATAGTATTTTTCCCGTTTGTTGTGTTACATTGCCAACTCCCACCACTGTCTACTTTTTCACTGCCTCACCTCATTTCTCCACTGCCAGCAGCTTGCATCATTGCCCGTCGCAACGCAAATCCACCCACTTCGCTTCCAAGCTCGCTTTCACGTCCGCCCACCGCCGTTTCCGCCGCGATCTCCGGATCCAGCCACCATGCCTGTGGGAAAGCCCCTTGCGCAGGTCGCGATGAGCGAGGCGAAGCGAAACTGGCCGTTCGTCTTCGGCTTCGCCGTGACGGGTTACATCGTCGCGAAGCTCACCGCGTCGCTCAACCGTAAGTGTCGGCGCCGCTATAATCGTAACCTGCCATTGCCGTTCTGGAACATCCGTTACTCTTCCGCGGACGGTTGTTCTCATCTTTCGCCTGTCCATTCTTCCTTCCCTTCTACCTTTTTAGGGCCCTTTGTGGTGTCCCTAACAAACCCTAACGCTACGGTGTCACGTATTTCTTGTAGTTAGCCTAGCACGCTATCCTCCCAAACAGCTCTCTTATTATTGTCGTGTTGAAAGGGAGACTTCTATCAGATTAACTACAGTGCTCGGGCACTGAGGGGATTCTTGTACAGTGCCGTAAGGCGCTATAGCTTTCCATTGGTTCCGCCGGCTTTTACTTCTGCCAGGGGTCTGTCTTAGCTCCCTCTAAACGTCAATTCACCCAGCTTTCTTTCTAAGCTTCCTCAGCCCACTGTCTTCCTGACAGCTTCATCAATACAATGTCTGCATATCATCATCCATTTGCATGCAGTGGTGTTTAATCAGACCCCAAGCATCTGAATATTGTGTCCAAGCTGCTAGTCAGGGTTTCCTTTTCACACTCACATTTTTTTTTCTCAAAAATCTTCTCCTATCTCCTTTCCCCTGTGACCTGTCCTGGTTTTAATTTCAATTTACCAGCTGCTGACGCCCAGAAGTCTCCATTTATCAATGTACACGCGCACAGGCAAGTATAACTGTTATTTTTGCGAGACTTCATCATCAGTTGCTGCCTGGGCTGATCCCAGACCTTCTTTTATTAAGCTTTCATTTATTCTCCCTTCGTTCTCCTGTGCAGATGAGCATGTCTATGTTGACCCTTCAGTTGGCACTACAGCTTGTGGGATAGTGAAGGTGTTCGTGGTACGAGTATATCAATGTGCTGTACCGTACCATTTTCCGGCATGATACAGTAACCACTGCTAGCACTCCACACAACCTTGTTGGCCCCTTCAATATGCGTTTATGTAGATGGGCTTTCTTAGCATGTGATGTGATTGCAGCAATATTGTACTTGCACATTGTAAGTTAAGAGCGAATATTCCGTGACGGACAAAAAAACGCCAATGCCACAACCACATCGTGTGAGCTGTGCTTACACCGGGCCGCATAAAGCCAATGCAGAAATTTCAAGAAATGGGGGGAACTGCACTGCAGCGATTCGGCCACATCCAGTAGAGCCGAATCGAGATTCGAGAAAGCACTGGTGAATGCTACGGAGGAAATTGTAGTGTACCATATTTGGGAGACAACAGGAGATGGTATTATCTGGGAAAGGTAGGCGACCGACAACCGTTCCTCAAGACGGAAGATACTGCAGCATGGCTCGCGCAAAGCACGCGCAGAGCGCGTACGATGGATTGGAATCGTATTTCGATACAGACGAGAGATGATCACTGAATGGCTTCCATTACTTCCCACGATCTGATTCAGTTTTAATCTGTGCCCTCCCTTGTAATATATTTTTACAATTTCGCAGAACTCCCTGTCATCATAACCAAGCTGCTGCTGTCCCCTAAACGATCCTCATGGATAATTACCGTTGCATACGGTTCCCGCCGCTGATACTTTTCCTACTACTAACAGCGAATGTCACGGTCTCGTCAAGAGTGGCCAATACTGAGGAATCGCAAACGCGCCAAGCTCTAGTCAAACCTTCCACTTCTCCGCCAGGCGGCCTGGCGGATCCGCGCAGAAGCGGAGGCGAATGCGCCAATAGCAGTCTCGGGGACGTGCTATCGATGCATGGCTGCTCGGGGTTCAAAAGCATGTTGGCGCATGCCGGAATGCTCGAAACCGTTGTTAAGACCCTCACAGCGAAATCTAGTGAAGGGGCTACAGTGTTCGCGCCAACCGACCTCTCCCTTCTGCTCCTCTCCCCGGTCCTCCTCGCGAGCCTCCAGGCCCCGGGAAACGCGCGAAAGCTTCGCGAAATACTGCGTTACCACTTCGTTCCCGAGGAGATCAGTGTGTTTCGCTGGTCGGGCTCTAGACGGTCTCTCCAGGGCTCCCGCGTCGTCTTGAGCAGCGACAATCACCCGCAGTTGACAGTAGACGGCGTGACTGTGAAGAAGGTCATTATAACTGAATGCGGATTCACCGTATACTCCCTCCGCGGGCTGCTCGTACCGCCGGACATGCAGATACCGGAAATCGGAGAAGCTAGTAGCGGGTTGCAAGTGCAGCTGGGCGAGGGGAGCGAGTTGCGGCGACTCGACCTTGAGACCCCGAAGCAGTCTTACGGTTTCGCCGCCGCCCCTGCCAGTGGCTCTCAACCGTCGCCAGTGCAGCCTCCCCCTGTCGCTCTGCCATCCTTCCCCCCGCCATCTTTCCCCCCCACATCTTCCGCTCCGCCATCTTCCCCCCCGCCACCCTCCCCGCCACCGTCACCCCAGCCACAGTCTCCCCTTCCCCCTCAGTGTAAGCTGGATTCGTCTCGCCGCTTTCTCCTCCCTATACACGGGAGCCCTCATTTTTTAGGCGCCTCAAAAATAGACTCCTCCCTATACACGGGAGCCCTCGTCAGTATCTCACGGGGGGGTTGAGACCATGCGCGTGCAAGCGAGTTGCGTGTCTCCCCCCTGCTCAACCCATGCGCGGGCATCTCAATCCCCCCATTCCCCCCTGCTCAACCCATGCGCGGGCATCTCAATCCCCCCATTCTCCCCTTCGCCTCCCAGCCTCCTCCCTCTCCACAGGCTCTGGGAGACATCGTCGGTATTGCAGTACAAGCAAGCAAGCCCATGCACCTAGCTCTCCTCTTCGCCTCCTCTCCCCTCTCCTACCCTGCCAGCCTCCTCCCTCTCCACAGGAGCCATCATTGGCATAGCAGTGGGGGGAGTGGCAGCACTGGGCAGTGCGATCGCCCTCGTCGTGCTCCTCTTTTTCACACGCAGACGGGGCCCACAAGGTAGCAATTCTCTGCTGCAGCAGCCACAAGCACGACTGAACATGCTGATCGTGTGGATGCAGCAGCACTGATGACCACATTCGCCCTCCCGACGCTGATCTTCCTCACAATCACTCGGAGGCCTGCAGTGTATTTTCTCCTGTACCGCCATATTTTTTAGGCGCCTCAAAAATAGCTTCCTCACAATCACTCGGAGGCCTGCAGTTGATTCTCTCCTGCACCGCCGTGATCGATACAGATGCATGGCTCTGATCACATCTCAAGTTATGGCGCTCATCACAATTGCCCCTCCCTCCACCCTCTTCTCCCTTTTCCCAGCAGGGGACGAACCCCCCACAGACCCTACTGCAGCAGCAGCAGCAGCGGCAGCAGCAGCGGCAGCAGCAGCAGGCTCTGGTTGCGGGTCAGGAGCAGGCGGTGGCATTCCCATCGCACCTGGCGGCGGCTCACACGGCAACCCGCTGCTGTGCCAGCAGTACCCCATTGCTGTGATCAAGCAAGCCACGGATGATTTCTCGGAAGCGAGGAAGATTGGGAGCGGCGGGTACGCTGACGTGTACCGAGCCGTGGACCCCAGGGACCCGTCGGTGGTATGGGCGGTGAAACGATCGAAAGTGCTGACCAATGACTTCAAGCGAGAGGTGAGTGGGTTTTATAGACCCTTCTTTTCTCTGAATTAGGTGAGTAGCTTCTCGAGGGAGAATTATTATCTTGAATTTCAATGGCCTTCGGTTGTGTGGGTGGTCAAGTGTTTCAAAATGCTCGCAAATACCTTCAATGCCAGGCAAGGACAAGTCAGCAGGACAATATTGCCATTAGGCTTTGACTTTATTGTGGGGTGAGGGCAGTCAACCCTGACTCTTGGAAGCTCACATTTATGTTCGTTCCTACGCTATTATTCCTATCGTGTACAATCCCAACGTTAACCAACCGTATCCCCCCCCCTCACTCTCCCCATCCCGCACGTCCTCAGATCCACGAGATGGCGTCGAAGCACCACCCGAACCTGGTGTGTATTTGGCAATGCGCCGTTGCCCCTTTCACCCACTCCTCCCCTCCCCCCACGCCATCCCCAGATCCACGAGATGGCGTCGAAGCACCACCCGAACCTGGTGCGGCTGCTGGGGTTCTGTCTGGACATGGATGTGGTGAACGAGCGCACGGAGCAGATCCTTATCTACGAGTACATGGTCAACGGGGACCTCGAGAAGTGGGTCGGGCCAGGTGAGCCTGAGCGACGTGGGTGGGGCCAGGTGAGACGTGGGTGGCGCCAGGTGAGTGATGGATGTGTCCCATTGGAATGGATGTGTCCCATTGGAATGGATGTGTCCCATTGGAATGGATGTGTCTGTGGCTCTACGAGTACGTGGCCCACGGGGACCTTGAGGCGTGGTGGGACCAGGTGAGACTGAGAGACGTGGGTGGCGCCAGGTGAGACTGAGAGACGTGGGTGGCGCCAGGTGAGACTGAGAGACGTGGGTGGCGCCAGGTGAAACGTGAGTGGGCCCAGGGGAGACGAGGTAGGTACTGTGACTTGTGACTGTATGCCATGTGACTATATGCCGTGTGGGCATATGCCATGTTGCTATATGCCATCTCACTGTATAAGTGGAGGTGACTTCAAACACGAATGCCTGCATTCTCACTCTCCCCTTTCCCTCCTCCTCACTTCCATCTGCATCCCTCCCTCTCCCTCCCCCCTTTTTCCTTCTCCCTCCCTCCACGGTGCACCTGTGACCAGAGGCGCCCAAGTGCCTGACACTGTCGCAGCGCACTTCCTCTCCTTCCCCTCCCTTTCCTTCCCCTCCCTTTCCTTCCCCTCCCTTTCCTTCCCCTCCCTTTCCTTCCCCTCCATTCGCCCAATCCCAGAGGCGCCCAAGTGCCTGACGCTGTCACAGATGGGAAAACATAGGATTCGATCCGCAGCAAGCCTCCTAAGAGTAGATCTTAGACTAGAACTAAGATTTAACAGCGAGAAAGCTAAGAGAAAGATTTCTCAAGTCAGAACGCCAGACACAATAGGCCCGGATGTCGCGTGCGAACGCGTTTCGGCCAACAATAGGCCTTCATCAGCGCACTAAGAGTCAAACATACTGACTACGATCTATTTCTACTCCCTTCCTCGCTTGTGTAGGCTCTAAGAAATTGAGCCATCACAATCTCAACATCGCGGTTCCGGTGGAGCACTTTGCCAGCTACCAGTTCTAGCTGTCAAGTTCAGCAAGTAAACATGCAGAGAGGGACATTCCAGAAGGTTCGTCCCCATTATTGGGAGGCAAACAACTGGATGCGGTTTCCCTTCTACACTATTTTAGCATGTAATAATCTATTACAATTTTTCCTAGGTAACTTCCAAGCTGTAACAACCGAGGATAACGAAGTCCTTGATTTTGCAGGGTGTTTTTGAGAAGTCCTTCCCCTCCCTTTCCTTCCCCTCCCTTTCCTTCCCCTCCCTTTCCTTCCCCTCCCTTTCCTTCCCCTCCCTTTCCTTCCCCTCCCTTTCTTTACCCTCCCTTTCTTTCCCCTCCATTTGCCCAATCCCAGAGGCGCCCAAGTGCCTGACGCTGTCGCAGCGCTTCAACATCCTGATCGGGGCGGCGCACGGGTTGGAGTACCTGCACAGCTTTGGCATCGTGCATCGCGACATCAAGCTGGCCAACATCCTGCTGGACCGCCACATGCACGCCAAGGTCGCGGACTTCGGCCTCGTGCGCATGGGCGAGGGCACCTCTGTGTATACCACTAGAATTCTTGGGACTCCGGGCTATGTGGACCCGGCGTATTCTCGCACGCGGAAAGCTACAACGGCTACTGACGTGTACAGGTACGGTACTGCTGCTGCTCACATTCTTTGCCCCTTCCCTTGTGGCTTTTTCTGATTCATTTCAAGGAGTGAGACGTGGCGGGCTCTGTGGTGGGTTGCACTGTTTGGCATCAGTAAGGTTGTAACAGCGGGTCATGTGGACTGGCTTCAGGCATGTAATTAGTGATGTCAGTGTATTGCTGCTTCCTCTAATGTTTGCGGTTACAGTTTTGGCATCGTGATACTAGAGGTCATCACGGGGAAACGGGCGATTATCAACTACAGCAGCAATCAGCTCAGCATCAGAGACTGGGTATGGGTGTCTGAAGTCCACCAATGTATTTCAGTCGTCATGTCTCACCAAACTTTGCTGTCCCGTGCTTGCATGGGCATAGCCTGTTCTCTTCTCATTCACCATCCTTTGCCCATTCACCATCCTTTGCCCATTCACCATCCTTTGCCCATTCACCATCCTTTGCCCATTCAGCACATGCCCAAGCTGCGTAGATCGCCCCATGGATCAATGCACTCCCCCGTGCATCTCCCGCCGAGCGAATTATCACCAGGACAGCCCAGGGGCCCTCACGGACCCAACGCTAAACGCACCCATCACTTATTCTGTTGCCTTGCCATCCGTCTCTTCCACATTCACTCCCCCATGCAACCTCCAGGCCGAGCAAATGGTGGCCAACAACACCCCAACCGCTCTCAAAGACCCCAAGCTAGACGCACCAATCTCAAACGACCTCATCCTTCGCTTAACCCACCTGGCAATCAGCTGCACGTTGATGCCCACGGCCGATCGGCCCAACATGAGCGGCATACACAGCGAGCTCACTGCCATCAGGGATGCATGCTTTGGGGCCGAGGAGAACCGGGCGGCCCACCAGGTAGATGTGGAGCTGCTGGGCGTGCAGGCGGCGCAGACAGTGCAGATCGATGAGCAGATTGCAAGAATAGACATGATAGGATCATCACAACAGCCAGGCTTGGAGTCGCTATAGTGTCGTGCGATGTGTGCGCGTGTGGTTTGGTGCGGAGGAGAACCGGGCGGCCCACCAGGTGGATGTGGAGCTGCTGGGCGTGCAGTCAGCGCAGGCGATCGGGATCGATGACCAGATAGCAAGAATAGACATGATCCGGTCGTCACAACACCTGGGCGCGGAGTCGCTATCGTGACTGAGGGGTGTGCGCAGTGGAGTGGAGGAGAGGAGACCTGGGTGGCGCACCAGGTGGATGTGGAGCTGCTGGGCGTGCAGTCGGCGCAGGTAGTGGGGATCGACGAACAGATCGCAAGGATAGACATGCGCGGCTCACAACAGCCGGGGACTTCAATATAGTCGGGGGTAACAGAGCAGCCAACCAGGTGGATGTGGAGCTGCTGGGCGTGCAGTCAGCGCAGGCGATGGAGATCAACGAGCAGATTGCAAGAATAGACACGCTCGGGTCGCAAGAGCCGGGGTCTTCAATGTAGTCAGGGATAACAGAGCGGCCCACCAAGTGGATGTGGAGCTCTTGGGCGTGCGGTCAGCGCAGGCGATGGCGATAGACGAGCAGATTGCACAAATAGACATGCTCGGCTCATCGCAACATCCAGGCTTGGGGTCACTATAGTGCTTGTGCAGGCGTGTGCTCTGGAGTGGGAGTGGAGGAGAGCCGTGGTTCACAAGGTGTACGTGGAGCCGCTGGGCGTGCATCCGATTTTTTAGGTGCCTCAAAAATTGATTGTGTGCGTGTGTGTATTCTGGAGTGGAGGAAACCCGCGTGGTTCTCAAGGTGGGTGTGGAGCTGCTGGGCGTGCAGCCGGCACAAGCAATGGCAATCGCCGAGCAGATCGCAAGGATAGACATCATCGGGGTGGTCACAACAGCCAGGCCCTTCAATGCAATTTTGTTGTTGGGCTTATCTGCTCCTGTGTGCGGTGTATTTGTGAGTTGTCCACCATATATATCATGTGTTGCTTATCTTATTCGCTCGGGGCTTATATGCTCTGTTCCTTGTTCGTTACTGGCTTATCTAGAGCAGGGAGAGGATCCTCCTCCCACTGGTTACTGCCGCTGCTGTGCTGCCGACAAACACAGCACTAAAACGAAATTTCAAGGGACAAATGAAACCAGGTGGGCGTTCTTTCCATTGGGGAGAGGTTGACTTCGTGGGGAGTTAAGCCAAGCTGTTGTACATGTCGGTGTACGAGGGAGCCAAACCTCACTCTCCTGCTCTCCTGCCCTCCTGCTCTCCTGCTCGCCTGCTCTCAAGCTCTCCTGCTCTCCCTCCTAGCACCACGAGTCATCTGCAAGCAGAGCCTTGTAGGGCAATGAAAGAGCAAAGGACAATGCATTGAGGACCCGGTGCCCAGGCAACATCCGTCTTCACAGCAGGCAGCCCCCTGGTGCGACACTTGCCCACCCTCCTTGCACCGGCGCACTAGGCGTGCTGTATTCTCTTGTTGCACCATCTGACTCCCCCCTGCCCTGACCATCCACACACACATAGAGAGGTGCTCCATACCCTGCACGCTGCTGCTGCTGCTGCTAAGAGACCGTTTTGGCAATCAGATCTGTTAGTCGCTCAGGGATTGTTTTCCTGCCCGCCTCGAGCCGGCCAAGCAGCTGTATCGTAGTAGCCTGAACCACCCTGCCACCGCTGCCCTGACGACCAGGCACTCCCGGATTGGGAGCTGCTCTCCGTTGCTGCGCCTCCTGCTGCCACGCCCCCTCTTCCCCTGCCTCCCGCTGCTGCTCCTGCCACAGGGCAGGGAGTGGGGGGGCAGGTGAGTGGGGGGGCAAGGGGGGCGGGTGAATGTCAATGTGGGTCAATTTGAGTACATGCAATCTCAGTTTCAGTGGAGAAATGGAGAGTGTTGCTGGAAGAAACCCCAGCGCTTTCCTTGCAGTTTTCAAGGAGCAGCGTATGAGCACGGGAAGGGCATTGGGATAGGTAGAGGAGTAGTGTGGACGGGAATTCCTGGTGGAACGGGAATTCCTGGTAGACAGCATCAGCTAAGCTTGCAACGGGTCCTGCCATCTGGCCTCACTCACTCACCTTCCTGCCTCCCATTGCGCGACTGGGGGTAGTGAGGGTAATTGTGAGGGTAGCAGACAACAAGCACCAGAATCGCAGCAGCAGTGCCAAGGCTCATTCCCCCTGCCACTGTAGGCTCATTCCCCCTGCCACTGTAGGCTCATTCCCCCTGCCACTGTAGGCTCATTCTCCCTGCCACTGTAGGCTCATTCCCCCTGCCACTGTAGGCTCATCCCCCCTGCCACTGTAGGCTCATTCCCCTGGAGGCATCCTCAAAGTAGGGCTCCTCACCTTCTTTGGACCCCGGGTTGAATTGGCGGAAGCATAGGAGGAGCACCAGAAGCACCACTGCAGCGAGCAGGCCTATTCCCCCTGCCGCTATGCCGATGGTAGCTCCGGTTGATAGGGTAGCTGCACGCATGAGGGGCACGGGATGCATGTTGGGCATGGGATGCATGATGGGCATGGGTCATGGGATGCATGATGGGCATGGGTCATGGGATGCATGATGGGCATGGGCATGGGTCATGGGATGCATGATGTGGTCGAGGGACTGGAAAAGCTCAAAGTTGGCCGGTGCTCCAGAAAATGCAATCAGATGGAAAAGTCAGAAACATGATCATGTTGGAATTGAAATGCATGCAGACAACTGAAGGTCCGAGGGTGGCATGGAGCGCGGAGCTGGGCATGGCACAGAAGAAGAATTTCAGTCAGAATCCTTCATGGTGGGGCTACGAAGTTCGAGGCAGCACCCACGGCTGTACTGGGGGAGACAGAGGGCGCTTTACCAGGGGAGGAGCTCGTTTGGCTGGCAGCGGAGTTAACAGGTGCTGCTGCTGGCTGCGGCTGCGGCCGCGGCTGAGGCTGAGGCTGCGGCTGCGGCTGTGGCGCTCCTTGTGAGCCGGGAGCAGGCGTCGAACCCGGTGCAGCCTTGGACGGTGGAGCCTCCGAAGGTGGAGAAGGTTCGGATGCGGGTGCAGGTTCGGATGCTGGTGCAGGTGCGGATGCTGGTGCAGGTTCGGATTCTGGTGCAGGCTTGGACGCTGGCGCAGGCTCGGATACTGGTGCAGGCTCGGATGCTGGTGCAGGCTCGAATGTTGGTGCAGGCTCTGATGCTGGTGCAGGCTCGGATGCCGGTGCAGGCGCGGATGCTGGTGCAGGCTCGGATGCTGGTGCAGGCTCGGATGCTGGTGCAGGCTCGGATGCCGGTGCAGGCTCGGATGCTGGAGCAGGCTCGGATGCTGGAGCAGGCTCGGATGCTGGTGCAGGCTCGGATGCTGGTGCAGGCTCGGATGCTGGTGCAGGCGCGGATGCTGGTGCAGGCTCGGATGCTGGTGCATGCTCGGATGCTGGAGCAGGCTCGGATGATGGAGCAGGCTCGGATGCTGGTGCAGGCTCGGATGCTGGTGCAGGCTCGGATGCTGGAGCAGGCTCGGATGGTGGAGCAGGCCCGGATGCTGGTGCAGGCTCGGATGCTGGTGCAGGCTCGGATGCTGGTGCAGGCTCAGATGCTGGAGCAGGCTCGGATGCTGGTGCAGGCTCGGATGCTGGAGCAGGCTTGGAAGGTGGGGCGTCGGAAGGTGGGGCTGGGCCGCTCGGCAGAAGGGGCGGAGGCGGAAAGGGCGGAGCGGGTGGAATGGGGGAAGGATCAGAAGCGGGGGCGAGGCGCCCAAGTGAGTCAAGCATTCGGCGATTGGCCAGCAGCATTTCCTCCAGCCTCCTCTTCCGCTCATCCCAGCCGTCCACTGCGCCCTCCTCCCTCATTGCGCGCCGAGCCCAGCGCCTCTCCCCGTCCTCATGCATTTTCCCGTGGTGGTCCGTGCTCCCGTTGTTCCGAACATCGCTGCCGCCCATTCGCGCAACAGCAGCTTCATGAGGATCATGAGACTCGGACTCATCCCCCTCCCAGGCGCCACGAGGCTCGGAGTGGAGCTGGCTTGTAGATTGTTGTGCTGCCGCAGGGGAGTTGACGAGCTCGACTGGAGGAATCAGAAACCTGTTGATTGAGTACACGTCACATTCGTGCGATTTTGTCACATGCGTTTTGATCACAGGAACGCTGGACACAAAAAGCCCGCTCCTCGTCTTGTGAAGCCGCAGTGGCGCGCCGAGCAGGGTCCGTCGCAGGCCTTTCCACTCAAACGGGGAGATCATACCGGGTACAAAGTGAAATAGCAGAACCTGACGCAATATTCGGTTGTTCTCGTATGAATGAAGGCCGGCAACAAGAGCTGTGGGAAACGAACGCAACGCGTCGTTGGTCGGCGCGAAAACAGTGAGTGTGGAAGGGCCTTGGAGTCGAAGCTCCCGAAAATCGGCCAGGAGGCCGGAATTTCGCAAGAAACTCGCGAAGGCCGTGTAACCAGTCGCAACTAGCTTCGCAACGAGATCATCCCCGGGTTCTGGCACCCGAGACCTCGTCGCCAGTTCGGGAAGCAAGCGGGCAATCGTAGGTTGTTGCGGCGGTACGACCTTCCTTGCTCCTTTGAAGGAACCTTCCACTGTAACCTCAAAACGATAAATCCTCCCCTTGCCGATGGTAGTACGTTTGGGCGGCCTGACTGTGCCAATTGAGTTAGTGGCGTTAGCTAGCGGCGCAATCACATTATCAAGAAGGACCAGCAGCACGAAGACGGCGAGCAGAGACCGTGCACGGCGGAAATGACAAGTCATGGCGCTTTTGTCGCTCAAATAACGTATTTCGGCGAATGCGGGGGGCTAAACCTCAGCTAAGGTGAACTTTCCTGCAGCTAGGATGAAAAATTAGGAAGGTAACCTTCTCATAGTGGCAGTAGCAGGAGGCAGTGTGTAAGATATAAGCACGATGGATATTGGCTACGCCGTGTCCGCAACTCTACGCGCTATTTGTTGAGACTCACAGTTTAGGATTTTCCAAGAGGATTGTGACCGACAGAAGAGGGAAGACTGATTTGAGCGATTGTATGAAGGCATTTGCGGCCAGCATGGAGGTACAGCGGCCAGCACGGGGGCTTTACGTCGATGACAGGATACAGAATTGGCAATACCTCGTTCTGCGCCATCTTTCTTTCAGAGAGACGAAGGAACAATGTTGGTAGGAAGTGGTGAAGGTAAAGGGGGTCTGCTGGTTGGGCTGGGTGCTCGCACTGTTTGGCAGAGGAAGGGACAAATTTTGTTTTCAAGCAGAAACGAGGACTGTGTGCCGTCCCATCATAACGCTGTGGTTGGGTGGGAGTTCGGGCAGATGAACTGGGATTGTGATCAAGATCGACATCGGTCAGGCTGTGAAAAATAGTTGAAAGTGACTGCAGGGATGCGGAATTCGTCTCGATGTTGCGAATGTCAACACCGCCAATAATGTTGCGACTCGGCTCCAAGGGCCTGCATCAGCCGCACCCTCACGACCAGCGCGTACGTTTGATTACGGTTGGGTGAGGTGCCTCACGTACCAGAAGGTTCGATCACAAATCTAAAACGGTTGGGTAAGGTTTTGACAACAAAACGTACGCGCTGCTTGCGACCCCAACAAAAAATCGAATTTCCCCCCCAGTGCATGACACCAATAATTGTGCTGGTTTGCTGTCTTCATTTCACACCTACACCTTCAGAAGGTTTGATATACTTGAAGTATGGCACATGCTACTACAAAACAATTAGGAGAATAAAAAACAAAGCACCTCACATTGGAACACTATGAAGTCCCCCCTGACCCTGAAGGGTTTGATCTCCAAGCACCCAGGCTTAACGCATCTGATGCAAGCTCGATTTGAGCAATCTGCTCGTCAAGAGAATTGCTGCTTCCTTCTCAGCGCTAGATATTTCCGCATCCACCTGATTAGCCGCAACGTTTTCCTCAACTCCAAAACACTCTTGCTTCATGTTATTGAGTTCGTGTATATCTGCTCATAGTCGGGCGATTCGCGGTCGGGATAGACGTGCAGGTCAAGGCGAAGCGAGCAATGCGAAGCATGAGATCGTCTGGAATAGGAAAGTCGAGTCGGGGATCCTTGAGAACTGTGTGCATCGCGAGCAAGCACATGGTGATCAGCCTGAGAGTGGGGCAACAGGAATCGGCAAGTGAGTGAAGATGGCAGCGGGAGTACGGCGAGGGAGAGAGTGTGAATATTGCCAACATAGTTCCACATTTGTACTCGTAAAGCAACTACATCTTTCACACGTTTGTAGATCTTCAAAAAAACTGAATGAAATGCAAAGACTTACCCAGTCCTTGATGTTCGTTTGCAATACACCCGTGCCCATCATTGCCCGCTGCCCAGTCATGACCTCTAAGATCACAATTCCATAGCTGCAAGCACACAGATATCAATGAACCATGCACACAAATATCACACATTTTTCAGGACACAATTCTGCAAAGTTGTATGGGAAAGCATGCACGTTGCAACTTACGCG